AAATGAAGTTCCCTCTAACAATGTTATCTCAGGAGATTCATCGAAACCAAGTTTCTCTTCGTATCTACAAAAGTCATGCACTTGATGCTCACCTAAGCCCAATCTGATTGTTAAGAAAAATGGAGAAGAAGATCTACGTTAGTATTTCCGAGACAATCAAATTAGACTCTTTTACATAGCATTCGGATTTGGCGCCAGCTCCTTTGGTTTATGCCCTTAAAGCCAACTCATGAAATGAACAGCAATATAATTACCGATGGAGACAGGAATGACAATCTCTGCAAATTTATGCACTAGAAGGTTCTTTTGGTGTTTTTACCGCAAATTAGATTGTTCTATCTCATCGTATTCCAGACTAGCATTAATTACTCCCATTTCGACAGCCAATAAGCCAACTGGGGAAACAATAATTTTATGAATAAGAGCTGTAATGGTATTATTTTATTTGAGTTGACGAAGGACTGGTAGTTGAATTTCTACGAAGAAAAGTTGGGTTTCGAGGAATCGCTTGTTTCATGATTGTTGAGCTCACTTTTATTTCGAGTGAAAGTGTTGGGTAAAGAGATTCGAAGGTCGGTTCCATTTACTTCCATTTCGAGTAGAAGTGTTTGGTGAAGAGATTCGAAGGTCGGTTCCACCAGAAGACGACGGCTATTCCTCTTGACCAGCTGTCGATTGGCTTTACTGGAACATTCATGCTGACGCTGTTTCCGAGGCAATCTCACTCGATTCCGGTGAAAAGGTGTTAAGCTTTCGTCCGTCATGTGACGGACCTTCGAATCTCTTCACACAACACTTCCACTCGAAATGGAATTTCTCGCAATAATATGAATAGAGCTGACGTTTCCATTGAATTTCACATGGTCTAGCTTTCACAAAAGTTGTTCTCACCCAGGATGGGCGGCAGTTTCGGCCGTTTCAAGAATTGTGGGAAAATTGAGCTACCAGTCCTTGATCACCTTAAACGAAATAGAGTGAACACATCTCGAGTCATCTGATTCACTGATGGTATGTACAAACTAAAAATAGCTAATGTCACAGATTGGTATAGCAAATATAATTTTGCCTAATCGACAATCCCACCAAAGAATGCATGGTCTTCCTTGTCATTTCTTGAAACTGTTGTCACTCCTAGATGAAAGGAAAGTTCAATTACCAGGGTGGAAAAATCGCATGCATCTAAATTCAACTAGCAACCCTTCTTCACCATATACCAAATGGGGTTAATCCACTTGTGGTCTCGAAAATCTACTTCAACAGCAGTACATCTTTCTTACTGTTCATGAATGTTGACTAATTCTTGTATACTCACTTTTTGACCCTAGGTTGCTTACTGTGAGTTAATGAGTAATAGTTGGATTTTCTTTTACAATCGTATGAAAATGCTTTTTGATTGCAAATAGTAAATTTCTTTAATCGACCTTAGGTGATTAAGGTACTATTTAAATTATACTTACCAAAGCATGGCAAGTTTTTATACAAGGACGAATAACTAAATAAATTCAGGAATTGGGTTGGCCGACTAAGATGCCGGCGAAACGTTTGAGAATGTACCAAGTACACTGTCTGATGCTGGGAGTCATGACAGCTACTGTGTCAGACGACTTCGGACTAGGTGCGTTCTAATAAATCGCCCTGACAACAAGATCAAGCTGCGACATCGAGGTCAATCCACTTATATACATCGAAAGGAGACTGCGACCATACCAGAGGTCACAGCATCTTGGTTTTTATATCTTTAAATAAATTCAAGTTCACATCAGTTCATGTGTATCGCAGGCAGCAGACTCACAGCTGCGCGAAACAATCATCGAAATTCGAGATCTAATTCTACTAGCCTCGGGATTAATTATGCATGTTGGCCATTGTTTGTGTTCAGAACAGGGTAATTAGTGTTTAAATTCTCAGCTTTTACTCTAAAATTGAACTATAAGAATTCATAGAAATATTAAAAATCTGAGGTGATAGATCGTCCTGACCTATCAGTAAGATATTAAGATGTACATGAAAGAAGTGGCATAGAAGAAACTAGAAGATATTATAAGTATAATGTCTTCTTCATCTGTGTGTCTTCGAAGGGAAGATGACATCATTCTTGTAGTTACGGAAAAATAGGTGTGAATCAGAAATGTCCGTTACTAAGGAGGAGCCACTAACATATCCAACGGATCTGGTTTCTGGTGCAAGGGCGTAGAAAAAATAGGCCATTTCGTGTTTTTCTCGTCTTGGCGGCGTGAGAGCTGAGGAAGGAGGCAGAAAGTTGGCGAAATCTGTCACCAGAAGGCAACTGGCAGAAGCGCATAGCTGCTGCGGTTGTTATGTACAAGATGGCTTCTGATAAGCCACTTTGGAATGTGAAGTAAAACCGAGTCATTTGTAATGGCGGCCAAGTCGAGCCGGAAGATAGACAAAGCAAAACGGGCTGAGGCAATATGAGCAGGTTGGAATGTCGTCTGGGAGATCACAAAATGCTGTCCAACCTTTGTGGACTGGAGGGCTCCACGAGGGGAGGACAGCTCTGGTTGGGTGTGCAAATGGGTTAAGAGAAGAAATATTAAGCAAATCTGTGCTGAAAGCATGGACAACAGGTGGGGTGGCTGACTACCGCCGGCCAACAAAATGATGGGGAATCTAGAAAAGAAATCATGGAATGTCAAGAAAAAGCGAGCGGTAAAGTAGTGACAGTGTGACTGTCAAGTGAAAGTGAGAAAAATTCTGTGGGAGGATATTAGGCCTGACCGGCTATTGAGGATGTACATCCACGTCGGGCTGGTGGGCTGACGAGGCTGGGTCTATTATGCTCAAATGGGAGGGGGAGGAGGAGGAGGAGGAGGAGAGGAAGATGTGACTTTGCGCGTGGAGACTCGGACACTTGCAGTCGGGATGGTTGCATCTTCGGTCGGGTTTAGTAGCCGTGGGCCAGATTGACGCTGGACAACGAACGTGCTGGCAGGTCCAGACGACCGGACAGGTCGGTCTTGTCCGGCAGCAGATGGAAGGTCTTGCGTGGACCGCCGGCGGCGGACGGATTCGAGGAGGGACTCTTGATGAGTCGACTATCGGACGGGGAGTTGGGCAATTTGGCGAAACGACTCGACGTCGCGGGACTGGCCGGATTGGCCGTCGGATGAGGTGGACTGGACAGTTGCAGAATCGGCCTGTGCCGACTCACCTCGGCCGTCTCCGCAAGACAGGCGTGCAGCCAACCGTCGAGCACTTTACGGTCCTCGGCCGTCGGCAGGTTGAACGAGACCAGACAGGATGTGCCCCCGGACTGTGGCCGGAAGTGGCTGGTGTGCAGTTGCATGCCGTATCTATAGACTGTCGAGCAAAAGCGAGAGAGAAACAGAAAGGGTTAGGAGGTAGGTACCAATTGGTGGTTTCAAAGCAGCCTGGATCCCATCCATGCTTGGAATGGCTCCAGATGTGATATGGGAAAATTTAATGGAAACATTGAGCCTACACATATCATTGTCTCTTTAATAACATGAAAA